ATATTCAGTCAATGACAAGTTTTGTTTCCATCACAATTGAAATCAACAATTTACATCGATCAGAAATTTTCAAGAAATATTTCGTGCACTGAAATTAGGTATTGAAAGGTCACATCAAAGTTCAGTGTCCGCCTATGTTTTACTCACATTGGTCAATATTTTAATGAACTACGAGGTATTCTCTTCTCATTTAACCACGGCCAGAATGGGAGAAGATCGTACATTTTGCCATGGTTTGCGATAATGCTCTAACAGTTAAGGTAATAATTCTGACAGAGAGTAATCAAACTTACCTGACTTCCACATTGTTCCTTTCTAAAATGTCATCGGTAATCAGACAGGTTATGTCGCCAGATGACAAATACTGTTGTTCCATTGTTATATAGAGTACCTTAAGAATGGTTCTGACTTCAGGCCTGGGCTCAAATCCTAGTCTATCACAGTAAACGTGGTTATAATGAAAGCACTAGCTGGGACCTGTGAAATTACTTCGCTATATCCGTAATTCGTTATAACCGTATAAAAAAGACATTAAATTTACATAGCTGGGGATCCAAGATGACTTTGCTATATCCATGAATTTGCAATATCCGTGTTTGTACTAAACAAGTTTTGCTGTATATCATTTTTTTCTCTCCCTTGACCATGCTCTGAAAGTGACGATCGAAAAACCTGCCAGGGAAGAGCTAGGGTTATGTCATATTGGATAGAGAACCTGAGGGAGGGAGCAATGTGGCAGTCAGACAGGTTTGATCTCTGGTGGCCAGATAGCTTAGATGATAACCTTGAGAGCACCTGCCTGAAGATTCAGGGGGCCTGGATTTTAATACAGGTCTGATCCATCACATTTCTTTCCTGACCAGTTAAAAGTCTTAACCCCCAAAGACACCAAATCAGGCTCATCCCTGGCAGATCTTTCAGCTATCACTTCGAGGGAATGGTATATACATGTAGCCCCACAGTATTTCAATAGATTATTCTTAGATATTGTTGCATTACTATTTTTTTTTTTTGCCTTGCATTATGCTCATGTAAACATTATCACTAATTTCATAATGGTTCTTATGAAATTAGTTCCTTTTCATGATATTTTCAATTTGTTTTGTAACAAATAAAATTGCTTAAAAGGTTGTCAAAATAGTCACCATTAATTGAGGGCTAGGGGGATAAAAGATGTGATGATAGTCATGTTACATAGTCCAGAAGCATTTTTTATTTAAAAAGAATTCATTTTTTCTTGCAGGATGGAATCAGAAGTGTGCCTCACTCCAGTTGATATATCAGAGTCAGACCTAGCAAATCTTCAGCACGGTGAAGTATTGGAGGTGGGATATACAGAAATAGCTCAAAATGAGAATGTCATCAAAGAATCGGAGCCTTCAACAGTAGAGGAGCAGCATGTCACTATAGATAGTGGCTTAAAACCTGAAGTTAATATCACTAGTGATGTAGTTGCTAGTCAGCTTATTGATCCGAGTGGACAGAAAATTGATGCAGACACCAGTTCCATTGTGGTGCAGATGGATGAAGAAAACACCAGTGGAGTTTTGCCAGTAGAAAATGTCTTTCAGATGGAGAATGGACTGGGTGATGGTGGATATATTATTTTGTCTGGTGATGCTGCAGGTACTTGTATACAATAAAAATAAAAGAATTACTTTGATGTAGAGCACACGAGTCTGAAATTTTCATCTTAAAAAAAAAAATTCCGGAAAAAAATATCCCACCCTCAACTAAAGAGAGTGGGACAATTTTTCCAAATTTTTTTTTTCATGATAAAAAATTAAGTGTCCTGTGTGTAGTTTCCATATACATGATCTACTGCCCCAAACCCATTAACTCTCAAATTTTCTATGAATCCCATAGGCAACTTTTCACTATACATGTATTTTCTATTAATATTATCCATATTTAAGAATCTTGGTCATAACAAATTAAAAAATAAAGCCCCGTTGACTTCCTTATCACCAAGTTTTCCTTTAGATGTTTGTATACTGTACTGGTAGTGTGAAAATCTTTCAAAGAGAAATGAATTAAGACATCCTGAGAAATTATCTTAGTTTTGAAGGCATTTTATAGGTATTTGTCTGAAATGTGAAATAAAATTGTTGTAAACATTTTTTCAGCCTGTTGAAATGAGTTTTTCATATTTATAGCTTCTCTGGGCATGGAATCGGATGAACCAGATGCCAAGAAGATACGGATTGATGGAGAGTCCTACATCGTGGCAGTCACAGATGAAAGTAATGCTGCAGTCAGCATAAAGCATGAAAAGAGTGCAGCAGAGCAGCAGGTGTACCTGGTAATAATTTGGTAACATACTTATGTCCCTTTGATTGAGTAACATGCTTATGTCCCTTTGATTGTGTGATAAGGAATTGATCAGGAGTGAATATTTGTTATAAATTGGATATTTCATATGATTTTTGGATCAAATTTATGAAAGAAATGTTTGTACAACTGAATTGTAAGGTAGGATGATTAATGCAGATATTGAAAATTATTAGCATTTGTTATTATCTGCATACCCTGGAGGATTAAACAAATGACCATATGTATGATATTATTATGCTTTGGACCTTCTTGTTAGTTTGTCTCTTTATAATCAATACCCAACTATTTTCGCATAGTGTTCTTAGGATTTATATAGGGTAAGCATACTATGCCTTTTCACACCAAGGAAATATTTCTGAAATCCATTGTAGCGCCCTATTGTCCTGGGATTATTTTTTTCAACCCCGTACACTTTTTGTGCCTCCTTTTACACCACAGACACCGTTATCTATAACATTGTACTGTTATATAATATATATAAACATAGTTTAAAATATTTTACACTTAAGATGAAAAATAAACAAAATATTTTTTTTTAAATGTTATTGGTCTTATTTAATTTCACTCAACTAATATTCTTAAAAACTATAGGTACATTAAACCTATAGCATGGAACATTCAAAATTAAAGAAAAAAGATTATGACATATATTTAGACATTCACTCCCTTTCAACTGTTCCACCCCAGCCCCCACACATTGTCTAATCTTTCTCTCTCTCTAATGTGTACCTCCAGGTGTCCTTTGGTCTACCGTCTATCTCTCTTTCTCCTTCAGGATCCCATGTTAAAATTGTCTACCTTCAGTTATAAATGTTATAATTTTCTATTCCATGCATAATTTACAGTCTTATTCTGACAGGTAACATCTTCAGTAGCCAGTGGTACTGTTCCCCCACAGAAGACAACCACGGTCAAACAGAAATCGGACATCAACCAAGCCTGGTTCACGACACGAGACGACAAACAGGCACTCCACAACACAGGTGAGTTAGCTAAGGAATGGCCTTCACAGAATACCTTAATAAATCATTCTTTTAAAATGTATATTGGACATTTAAGTTAGGATACAGGACTTTTACCATTTTTAGGAAAGGCCTGTTTTAAACGCAGTTAACTTTTATGAATTTATAAAAGAAAATTTAAAATACTTCATAAATTACATGTTTGTTTTGATCATATTTTATTGAAAGAATCAAATGGATTAGAAACAAGTTCTTACATAAATTACATGTGTATGCATGACAAAATTGAACATTGTATTTTAGGGGCCAGCTGGAAACAAGGCCAGTGGACCAATGAAGAGGTGGAGATATTGCAGACCAATATCAACAATTACTGTAAGGTTGGTATTATGATATTGATTTGCTGATTCTAAAACTTTCAAAATACCTCCGAGTTTCAGACATCAAAGTTAAGAAATATTCATATTCAGGATGCTCAGTGCTTTGATCTTTGATGTAACATTATTACTGTAGGTATTCAACATAAATAATATAAAGTTATGGTCAAAATAAGGAAGAATAATATTGAGGTGTATTTAATTTAAAACTAGTGAGTTGATTGTATAATTTGCTATCAGTTCTCTTTGAAAAAGTTAACATATTAAATGTTTATGTTAACATTAAAGAAGTGTTTGTGTATTTGTACTTTGATTCTGATTAGCATTGACCTTCTCACCAATGACCTTTAACCTTCTCACCAATAACCTTTTGCAGGAACATAACATTGCTGACCCAACAGAAATTATATTTGAGATGTCGAAAGACGAACGGAAAAACTTCTACCGCACGGTTGCAAAAGGTTTGATGAGACCCCTATTTTCTGTGTATAGAAGGGTGACCAGAATGTATGATCAGAAAAATTATATGGGAAAATACACCTTAGAAGAAATTAATCTTCTTAAAGAGTAAGTATTTTACAAAATTAAATTTATTGGTATGAAACTTACAAAAAAATTTGGTTAAAAGTAAATGTACAATAAAATTATGCAAACAGAATAGTTGTTTTTCAAGTGGATGTTAAATAAATTATGAATTACTTCTTATAATATGCCTCAACACTTATATAATACTGATTTTCAGATTGCGTAAGGTGTATGGTAATGATTGGGCCACCATTGGTCAGGCCTTAGGAAGAAGTGCATCCTCAGTGAAAGATAAATGTCGCTTGATGAAAGACTCATGCAACTCAGGTAGATTTCAAATATTTAGACTATACGCTATCTGTTGATTACACAATATTGAATATTATAAACATAAAACAAAAATGTATACAAAGTGGACTTTTGTAATCTAAGCTTAGTATCATTACTTGAATTACAGGAAAATGGCTTCCAGAAGAGGAAAGAAGGTTATGTGATGCTGTGTATGAGTTGACAGGAGCCAAACAAGGTTTGACAGAAGTGTTGTACAAGGAGTCGCACAAATATTGAATGTTATACATTTTTAGTATGAGAAATTCAATATTGGAAGGAAAGTGTAATTTAGTGTACATTTTCAAGTGTATACTCAATTGTCAAGTAATGTAAGGTATCAATGGAGAGAACTAATAGAGTACGTTTCTTTGTATATTATGAATAAAATACTCCTTAAACTGATGTAAGGTATCTACGCTATTTTCCAACATTACAAACTCACACATCAGTGTCTTCAGTATTCAAATAAAATTTATATACAGAAATCATATTAAGGAATTGTATGTCTTTTTCCTTTCTTTTCTACAGGTGAAAGTGTTACCTCAGGTCTTTCATGGTCCAATGTAGCAGAGAAAGTAGCTATTTTGGAAACATTAAAATTCACACATCAGTGTCTTCAGTATTCAAATAAAATTTATATACATGCATATTAGGAATGATTTTAATTGTCTTTCTTTTCTATCATGAAAGTGTGATTCTTTCATGGTCTTGTAGCATCAAAGTGAGGTGATTTAAATTGTCTTTTGGAAACAAAAGGGGGGCACAGAATGGACTCGGGAGGACGACATGAATCTCATCATGAGGTGATTTTAATTGTCTTTACATCATGAGGTGATTTAAATTGTCTTTAATTTAGATTACTAAGTTGAAAATTGAACTCAAACTGTAGGTTAAATGAGATCTCACTTGACATACATGTATATATATATGCATTCTGGACGCCAAAATTTAACTCTACTTCGAATAAAACCCGTGAAACAAAATGAATGAGCCTTAATTTTTTTTTTTTTTTTCAGAATTTCTAATCTTGGTGTTGCCAATGACACAGAGATTGATTGGAAAGAACTGGCGGATAATTGGCCCAGGTAAAAGAAATAATAATATTTTAATGTTGTGGTCTATTTCTCTGTAAACAATTGCATTGTTACATGCAGTGATTATTTTTTTTCAAGATGAAAATGTTAAGTTTGTGTACAGACAGTAAATATGTGGGGAATACCTTATTCTTCCAAACTTGCCATCTTACTTCTAAAGATTTTCTGTCAAAAAAATCTTTTCAAAGAAAAAACGAAAGTACCTGTTTTCTTTTTGTTCCTTTGAAATAAGTATTGGGGTGTGTAAAAATGGTATTGTCTGATTGGACAGCAAAATATTTACGTGTATTTGATGTGTATTAATAGCAGCTTTCCGTTATCGTTCTTGACTTCCATATTTAGAAATTTTCCAGACCTGTTTTACTACCTTTGAAAGTAAAATTGTATCCATAGGGCATTTAAGGCATAGTATGAGATTTAAAAATCTAATAATTTGAAAATTTTAAAAGTGTTAAATATGTGCCATCATTTTTGCAATAAGCTTATTTTTAGATTCATAATTCAGACTTGAAAAGGGCACTAAATTACCTGTTCTTTTCTTTTATAGTGTAAGATCACCACAATGGTTGCGAGGAAAATGGTGGTCTCTTAAACGTAACTATCGCCATTACCAGTCAATGCCATTTCAAGGTAATTTGGTGCACAATGTACAGTCATGTATTATTTTTTACAGGAGCAAATTTAAATTTTTTGCAATAATTTACATGGATTGAGTTTAGGCAACTCTAAGAAAATATTTTAAAAGTCAATATATTTTAGTGTCCTGAATTCAAATTTAATTTACTAAATGCCATGGATGAGGAAGAGATGACATTTTGTTAATTTTTTTTTCTGCCAGAATTACTTGAACACCTGAAGACCAACCATGTTGGAAATGTTCGAGTGAAAAACCAGATGAAAGTCTCTGCAGAAATGGTAGCCATGCCAGTAACTCTTCAAACAGGTAAAATTTCTTCTGAGATTGATCATTTTCTAATGTGACTAACTGATATCATAGGATAACGCAGAGTTCTGGGGTAGAAATAATACCAAAGATATGAAGAAGGAAATTGACTATGAATGTTTTGAGTGTAATCTAATTGCTGTATTTGCTTTTATTGCTGACTTATGTAATCTGACATTGATAATTCTGAGAGTCCTGAAATTGATTAAACTACTACAGCTGCTACAGTGAAACCTGTCTAATCTGATATGCACTGGGTGACAATGTTTGTGTCAGAATACTGTAGATTACTTATTTTCCGCGAGTACTTTTTATCGCGAACTGGCTCTTGAACGTCAAATCGCGAGAATTATAATTCACGAATGACAGTTGATCAATAGATTTTACATAGATTTCAGCACTATAAAGATAAAAGCGAGTAATATTTTTTCGTGAGTGATGCTTCTCGCGAAATTACAAGGAAATTAATTCCTCGCGTTTAATTAGGAATCTACAGTAGTCAGGGTGTCAGAATGCACAGTGTAAAGAACATGAAAAATAGGAATGATATTAAAAGTTTGGAGTTTACAGTGAAATGGATTACAGAGGTGTTGTACTAGACAATTTTCACTGTATTTGTAGTCAAGTGCTCTACTCTGATTTACAGGTGCTGATGGTAGCTCCACCAGTGAAGCTCTACAGACATATGAAATTCTCCATCAAACCAGCTCTGGGGCTTTCCTGATCACCCAGCCCAACACTAACCCCGCCATTACCATTAATGGTTCTCCAGTCACTTCAGATCATATTATTGTACACACCTTGCCAGTAAGTATATTGGAGTATTGAGGTAGTGCTTGATTGTATAGATTTTAGAAACCTTTATAATAATTTATTTTTAGCAAAAGCATTTATTTTAATGCTTTGTTTTTGGTCACTTGTCCATATAAATTTCTCTTTGTAAATTCCTTAAATAATAACATTTATGATACATGTGTGTGGAAAGGATCTTTTTTTTTTAAGAACTCAGCAGTATTAACCTGATCTTTTGTAGAACTCAACAGCTTTACAGGGGCAGGAGAACCTGGCAGTACAGATGAACCCAGTCATACTCAACTCAGCCTCAGACAGTCTCAGTCTGGACTCGACAGAAATCTCATTACAGAGTTCTACCACCGGTACTGACCAGGGTTAGTTTTTACTGCTACATGTATATTTGGAATTTAAAAAATTTTCAATTGATCTTGGTTAAAAGTCTTTACTTTGTAGCTCCAATAACAGTACTTAGCAAAGTACCGTGTCTATAAACAGGTCGAGGCAAATAATTTTCTGTGACCTTAGAATAAATTAATATGTTAAATGAGGAACCAATGCGACTGACAAATAGACCAATCAGCTTAATGAGTTGCATTTTGGGTTACTACAAAAATACTACATGTGTGTTTGAAAAGGCCAATTTTTGAAAAATATAAAATATTTCAATCTATTAATTTTTTGTTATTTTCATTTTTTTTTCTCTAGATATAACAGAACAGATGATAACATCCACCCCTGAGATGGACACACAGACAGAAATTTCTTCCACACCATTTGAACATGAGGTAACAGCTTATAAAAAGAGGATTGAAAATTGCAGCTTAAAATTTGACCATTAAAAGTAAAACTTAGGAGAAGACTACTTTTGATATATGGAAGCAAAAAACTCCATTTTACATGTATAGTGAAACATGTCTAATCCAAATGTTGTGTATTCTGAAATTTTGGTAATTATACAGTATAATTTGTCCAATCCGGCTACCGCCGGTTCATAAAACTTTGGCCGGATTAGACAGAATCCGGAGTGCAGGAAAAATGCAGGAAAATATAATTTCGAAAATTTTCGTTGTTTATTTCGAAGTACATCATATACATATTATAAATAAAATTAAATGATGAAATCAATTACTATTCTGGAGTCAAAAATTATAAAATAGTCTCACAAGACTTACAGTATTTTCTTATTTGTTCACGAAGTTTGAAAGTCGGGTGAAATGTTACCTCAATCAAAATATACAGGCACGCATAATATAGGCCTACTATGTATCAAGCGAACCGGGTTTCGCTTGTCAAAGACCTCATTCAATGTATTAACAGTAATGCACAATTATTTACGATGTGCTAATTATTAGTTTATGTAAAAAATTACGTCTTCCCCCACAGTGTTATGGAGCCATTTTGAAATGCGTTCGATTTTCGATCCCGATTTATATAATTTTGATTTGTAAATCGCATACATATATTTTTGTGTTTATGTTATAATGTGGTAAAAGGAGTTAAAACAAATTAAAGTTACTTTTTTTAATTGTAATTTAATATAATATATTTTTCAAGTGGACTGTGTCACCGCCGCATTTCACCGAGTTCGTCTCATGGCACTAATAATCATGCTAATGTAAACAAGGATTATCACATTCCCCCACGAAAGGTGTTGATTTCTTTGAAGTAACTCAGGTGTGGCCGGATTAGAGGGAATAATTAACGTTAATTACGAGCAGTTTGGGCCAGTATGGCCGTTCGGAATACAGATTAGACAGAATCCGGACTACACAGACTTTTTTTAAATGAATTTGTTAAAGAAGTGCATGGGACTAAAATTTACGGACGGAATGGACAAAAGTCCGGAGTACTCAGAGTCCGGATTAGACAAATTTTACTGTATATATCTTCGTGTTGGCATAATATATATGATGTACTCCTACAAGTAAAAGCCTCGGTTAACATCCCCTCCTTATGTGGCGCCAAGTCAAAAGTATCTCACTGTGAACCTCTAGCATGCTGTAGTAAATATGTATGATGTAAACCTTAAGGCCCTCAATATTAAAATTCATTTGTTTAAAATGTTGTTTAATCGTCCCATTTCTTCAGACCTAGTGGTGTCCAAATTAGATATGTTTTACTGTAATATATGCTTATTTTTCTGATAACAGACCATTGCCTCCTCTGTGATCGACGGAGACCAGGAGAACAGTCAGTCCCAGATTGTGATTTCTTCAGAGAATGACCATGGGAACTACAAGTTAGTGATGGTCACGACAGGGAACGATAACAGTACAGAGTACATGTTCTCACAGTCAGGTAATTCTGATAGCATTCAAAGCAGCTTTGTGAGTCAGGGAGACTTGTTAGCTTTTGCAGAATTTAGTCTCCTTGAACTGAAGAGTTCCAAGCTTCAACAATTGTAACACATTTGTTAAATTTTTGAAGTAAGTCATTGTGATGTATGCTGCACAGGTTATATGGTATAAATTAATTTTTATGCTATCAAATGATGTGTTACATTTATAAAAAAAAAATTAATTAAAAAGTAGCACTTTATGAATCAGACAATAAAAAAAACTTGTTTCATTATTTTAAACTGTGTTTTGAAAGTGTTAGTATGTTAGATCAGGCCTGTTAAGATTTAAGAATGGTGTTGCCGGCTATTTTTTACACACGTAAATCTAATAATTCAGCATTTGCCTGACTATATTTTACAGATCCTATGCTAC